AATTTTCCTGGAAAGGCTCTTTCAAAATATCTCATTAAAGCTTAAAAGTAAAAAAGTTGTTGGTTATTGCAAAGCAAAATAGTGGGCTGGCTAAAATTTAGCTCAATAAAACAGTTGCATTCCACGGTGTTTTGAGCTGTTTGCTTTTCAAACCCTTAGTTATCGAACTACACTGATTTTTTACACCTTGCTTTTGGAAGCTCTTCCTGGATCAAGGACTGCTTTACTTTTGTTCTGTCTCCATTTTGGAATGTGCTGCTGGACAATATTTGCACTTTTGAAATTCTGATGTTTAAAACCACAAGAACAACATATTTTTTGGGTTTGTTTGTTTTGTTTGTGTTTTTTTTTGTTTGGCCAAACAAAATTGAAATCTAATATTAGGTGGGTTATTTTACTTAGGTTTGTTAGAAAGCATCATGGGCATCTGTGGATGGCATAGGCTGGCTTTTGGCTTTCAGCCGTGAAGCTGGTTGCTGCTGAGGGCAGAGAAGTCTTTTGCTGCTGAGGGCTGTGGGAGTGATTGGTCTCAGCAGGTGCCTGATCATGAAATGTTTCTCCTGCTTGCCTCCCCTTCTGTCTCCAAATGAGCTTCCCAGAGATACAGAGACATGAAATTAAGTAGGAGGAAACATTCCTGGTTTGGCAATTTTTTAGCTTTAAAGTCTGTGGTGTAACATGAAGAAAAAAAGTCTCCTTTATTTTGTAGCCATAATTCATACTTGATTTTAAAAACTTGCATCATATTGTAAATACAGAATTAAAACAGATCCATTAAAGATTTGTAGAATATTTGTGGTGCTTAGAGGTTAGTTGGATTCTCAGGTAGCCCGTTTTATAATTTTAATGCTGTACTCTTCTATGCATACATCCTGTTGTATTGATTCCATGTGGTGATACAGGCACATTTAATAAAGGCATGTTTTAAGGATGTGCCTTTTTTCCAGGTAGTACTGTACTTTTATGGGAGACTGATGCAGGATAATGTTACTAAGATAGGGTTAAATTTGCAACTTAAGAACAAAATAACTTGTACAGGACAAAAAAAAAAGGTGTACAAAAGTAGTACTGAGATAAATATGTAGGTGACAATATATAAGAAAACTTGAAATGGTATTTATAAATCTTCTGAATCTGTTGGTTTTTTCAAAATCTAGGTGAAAAAAAATAAATTGAGTTAGTTTCCATTGTGACAAGGAATGTGTAGAATCTTTCTTTTGTTTTTGTTTCAAATATGTATGTGGTTTTGGTGCAAATATGTACACAGTTTTGCATATGTAATCTCCAGTAGATATATCAATTTATTGTTTGTAATGGCAATGCACAGTTGCAGCATCTAGGAACTGCCCAAACTGAGTCTCCCAGGGTCTACAATCTGGAAAAGATCCTTAATTATTTCAAATGTTCTGATTTCTCCAGCTGTGTTCAGTGTAGATGTTTGTTTATTTTTATATACTTGTTCTTGTGATAATATTCCTGTTGCATCTGTGGTAAAACTGCCCTTGTAGCTTCATTATAGGTGTCAAGGATGCTGGCCAGTACTTTCAGAGAAGACTCATGCCCTGGCTGAGATTTCCTAGAAGTATCAACCTCACCTCTCTTGGTTAGTCAGGTCTCTTATTCAGAATCAGTAAGTGTTACTTAGAAGTCTTATCCACTGTGCCTAGATAAGGAGATTACTGCTCTGGCATTCCTCTGCATGTGCAGTTCTCCACACTCTTGCCCAGTAATTTGTCCAGATATGTCTCTGACAGCCTCATCTGCAAGGCATATTCAATTCCCTGTGTGTATGACAGGACTCATGGACATAGCCAAGGACTCATCATGCTTCTCAGGACCTATCTGCTCTTTTCCTCATCTCCAAGGTGCAATTTCCAGCTGTATTTTTAAGGCATTTTCATCCTGGGGGTTTGCTGAAATGATTTTATATCTATCTCCCATGCGTGCTTGCAAAGACTTTCATTTCCTGTAGGCAACAGTTTAGGAATGACTTCTTGAGAGTCAGATGGTTAGTTGTGGATTGTCATGTGTTGGCTACTAGAATCAAACAAAAATGTTTGGCTTTTCTTTTAAATTAATAAATTTGTTTTAATTTACACTTCTGTGGATGATAAGGCATCCCACCCCACCATGAAAATAGTTACCCTGATGCCTGCTTTTGAAGTCTCACTTCTGAGTTGTATGTAGGTCGTTTTTTTTCTTTTTTCGTCACAAATTACAACATGTCAGCATCATGTGCATTTCAGCATGTTCTGAGAGCTAAATTTTATTCAGCTGGGGAGCCGAATCACAAAGCACAGCGATCCATTTGACCTTTAGCTTTTAGTGCCCTTACGTTCCTTTCCCTTTTCCAGACCTTGCTGGCAAATGTCAGCATGCTATAACATATCATTTTAGGGATCTGTTTATGGCAGGTTCCACCCCTCACCCAAAGGTTTGAGGAGCTTTCCTATAAATAGCTATGTTGGTCATAGCTTTCTATATGCTTGTGGGGTTCCCTGATCAGTGTTTTATAGTAACCAGCTCTCTTAGCTCAGAATTTGGGTGTGAACACCAAATTTTGAAAGAATTTTGGCTTGGTTGAAGTCTTTTGTAAAAGGATGCACTATAAAACTTGTAATTCTTATGAATTTAGCAAGTCAAAAAGGTTTTCTGAAATCAGAGCATCTCCTTTTTCCTTTGTCTTTTATGTTTCTTCCTTGCATGGGACTTGCTCTGCTAACTTTTCTTTGTTTGCGCCCTCTGTTTTCAACTCTGGATAAAATTGCTATGTTGACTTGTAATGCTGAGGGACTGGCTGCTGTTTTAAATCTGAAGATATGACAAGTCTTCCTGCATCTCAGGCCTCTCCTTTCACCAGGCTAACATCAAATGGAAGGATTTTTCTGATGTTGCTTAGAATTTTGTCTATTGTTTTTAGCTGCTAGAGATTACTACTGCAGTCAGCAAGTATGGAACTGATGTTGAAAAATGGCAGCTGTGATCCACTGAATGTGAAATTTCTTGGGTTTAGTCTATATGTTGTCAAATGGTAACATTTTTTGGAGTTTTGCATTTGCATTTGTCTTGCACCATTACACAATACTTTTTTCTCAGTTAAAGTATTTGTCTGCAGATGCCATCCAGTACAGATGTCACAGCTGTTGTGTATCACAGTCTCCTGGATTTCAGGAAGGGCTTGACCATATTAGGTAGGCTGATGGGACACTTTCCACAGGTTTACCTGGTCAAACAACCATTCATGCACAAATGCAAAGATGGAGCTCCTAGTGTTTCATGCATTATTACCTCTTTGCCATAGACAATTTTCAAGACTTGACCTCATTTCTTCTTGATGTGATTGATGTGGAGACTGGTGACTGCACTTTGTAAAGGAACAACAAGGAACCAAAACTTCTTGGTCCCTACTGAATGACCTAAAACAGGGGCAGTGAAAAACAGCAGAAAGGAAAGCCTTCCTTCTGCCTACCTCAGAGAAATTATAGAATCATAGAATTGTTAAGGTTGGAAAAGACCTCTAAGGGCCGCCAAGTCCAACCATCAACCTAGCACCGCCACCACCAGGTTCACTACTAAACAATATCCTCAGGTGCCATATCCACACATTTTTTGAACACTTCTGGGGAACTTTTCTGGGCAGCCTCTTCCAATAGTTGACTATGCTTTCCATGAAGAAATTTTTCCTAACATCCAAACTATACCTCCCTTAGTGCAACTTGAGAGCGTTTACTCTTGTCCTGTCCTTTGTTACCTGGGAGGAGGGACTTGACTCCCACCTCACTACAACCTCCTTTCAGATAGTTGTAGAGTGATAATGTCTCCCTTCAGCCTTCTTTTCTCAAGGCTAAACAACCTCAGTTCTCAAGTCATGTGCTATAGCACAGCTAGGGCCGATGGTGAATTTCACTTCTGGAAATGAAGTAGCTCTGCTGTTTGCATGATGTCCCTAGAAACACTGATTTCTTCAAGGAACAGACTCGTGCTTGCAGGCAAATGACTGAGTTGTGTGGTTTTGTATGTACAGCACCAGCAGCTACAACATCTCTACTGCAAGATAGGAAATACATCTGGAAAAAAGAGGGATTTTGCACCATCCAGGACTGCTCTTTGCAGCCAGTTATAAAATGATTAGGAGGTTGAAGACAGGGTTACTAATCAGTGCGTAGATCTTACCATGTGGCGCTTTATTTCTGTTTCTGTTCTTGGGAATGAAGGTAGTCGAAATCAGTGGCATCATATGAAAATATTAATTTATTGTTCAGTTGGAGCCAATAATATGAACTTTACAAAGGTTTCTGTTGCAAGACTGTTTCATTCAAGTGGACCAAAGGCAGTTGAGCTGAACTTCGATAATGACCTCGATCAAAGAGTCAAACTGCTCAAGAGGCCTTTCTTATTCTTGTCTGAATATACTGCAGGTCACTGGGGGCTGTAAACCTACAGAGAAAAAGGCAAAATAGTATCCTTTAACTGGTCAGTCTGTAATGTTGAACTTTTGACTTTCTAGTAGTTGCAGCTAGGAAAAAGTTATCTTCACTATTAATGGAGTCTTCCACACACATGACCAGTTATAGATAAATAAATTAACGAACTTCGAAAAGATAATTAAGTGGAAAATCTAGAATAGAAAAAGCTGGTTTACAACCTTTCTCCTCTTGTGAGAAAAATTTCATATATGAAGAGAAAAGCGACTGGAACTTGGCATGCAGGAGACTGTGAGTTCCTGTCCCTGCTTGTGTCTCAGTGAATGTCCATAGCTTCTAACCAGTAAAGTGGAGTTTGATTCTGAAAAACTTTTCCTGTCATTGAAGTGAAATGAGTACCTTTAAATATTGCAGCAATTTTCACAGGGATATGTTCACAGGACTCACAAAGGAGAAAAGATATCTTTTTTTTTTTTTTTTCTTTCTGTGAAACAGCACTGTGAATAAGATATTGTGATTTTGTGTTCAATATAAACATAAACAAGTTTCTCATTTACCATTCTTGTGATGTTTCAGCTTAATGATGGAGGCAAAGCAGCCCGAGCACATGTGGGGATAGGTGATGTGGTTCTCACCATTGATGGGATAAGCACAGATGGGATGACTCATCTAGAAGCACAAAACAAGATCAAGGCATGTACAGGCAATTTGAACATGACTCTGCAGAGGTAAGATACCTTTATTTAAAGAGAATTGATCATCACTGTAACTGTTGTTTGGAGAATAAAAACATGTAAGTGGTTTGCCAAAGTACATGGAATTAAGTGGAAATGATTGAAAGATGTGCTGCCATACCCTGAAATCTGTCTTGATTTATAGTGTTTTAGAAAAGTTATTAGATGTTAATTATGTGAGTTGACAAAGACCTTTTCCAACCTTATGTCATCTACTCTAGTTCCTTTTGAGCTTCAGTTTTGTTTAATTCACTTGTTTAAGCAAAACGAGGTCTTATTCAGGCTTTTTTTAACCTGTCCCAGCTGACTAGGGGCATTTCTTTTTTGGGTCAAGTCCAACAGCATCATTGTTATTGGCAAACAAAATGATGGATTTAAACAGTTAAACCCTGAGTTAAATGGATGAAAATACTGCAGCTCAGAGTCTCTGAGGTACCTTTCCTGAAGTGATACTACCGTTTCACAAAGTATCAGCCTCCCTTTGCTAGTTGAAGAATCTGCTATAGAGGTAACATCTTGGTCAAGTCTTATTCCTGAAACATAGAGTTTATTCAATCCCAGCATACCTCTGTTAGCCTGGGACTATGTTTTGGTAGGTGTTGGAAGAAGGGAGCAGGATGCTCACATACGGGTTATTGAACCTGGAGCAGGAAGAGCAGCAGCACAAGCAAGAAATTCCTTCAAGCTCTCAGAAGTCTCCCAGGGCTAAATATTATCTTTTGTTAGAAGACTGCTATTTTGATTTAATGATATGGGTGAACATCTTGGAGGAGGATTGGCCTCTGGATCCATCACATAGGGGGAAACATCTTTTCTTGTTTTCAAAGAAAACAAGAGCAGCTATACCCCATGATTGCTGTTCGTGCCTGCCTTCAGCAGTGCAAAATTCCTTGATGGATGTTGGTTGAGGTCCGTAACATATCTTTTCACCAGTTACTTATGTCTTTTGTGGCAAATTATCCTGCCCTCAATGAACGGACTATGTGTCTCTGAGAGTTCATTGGCGTTGAAGACGTGACGTGGTTGTAGATCTGACAAACATCCATCTCTCCAGGGTGGGGGTGCCTGTTCCCAGCCCTAAGTGACATGTATTTGAATGGTTGTATGAGTGCTTTCTTCTGTGAGAGTCTACAGTTCATCCCTGCTTGTTGTTTCCTGTTTTTCTTGTTGTCCTATCCTTTGGTCCTTAGCTACCCTTAATAAGGGATTCCCTTTTCTCAGTCTCTGAGGAAAGGAGTATCTTGTGGTGTGGTTCGTGCCTAGGGCATCTTCTGGAGCGAAACTTGTAAAGGTGGCATTAAAAGTTTCTTGATGAAAGAGAGGTATTATACCAGCTCTAGTATCTAGTATGTCATTTGCTTTTCTGACTCCCAACGAGACAGGCAGGTTGTTTAGAAATGCACTTTCCAGGAGCCCACTGAGTCACTCCAGAAGCAGCTGGGAGTGAAGGGGGGCAGGGGGTGGCCCCCTTTCTCCTGTCACCATAATTGGATGGGCAGGGTTAATATCAGATATAGGAAAGTTATAGCAGGTGTGTCTCGGTCAGGCAATGACTTGTCTGAGGCTGCTTCTGGTTGGGTACAGAGATGAGTGGTTTGAAAATCGAATTAATCATGGGTTAGCCCAGCCCCCTCCTGTTCTCACCCTTCCTACCTAGTCTAGCATCTGACTCACCGCTGTTGGCTACCTGACAGCTGAAGACTAAGTCAGGATCAAACTAACAGAGATCAAAGGAATAGCCTTGGTCCCAGCATCTGAGGGTGGGATAGATGTCCTGTCTTGTGGCTCTGCTAGTTTGCAGTCTCATGGTCTCAGCTGTTTTGAATTCTGCCTGGATCCCAAGAAACCAAAGCTGTAGACAGTGCTGCCCTGACTCTTCTGCCTGTGAAAACTTCCTTGCTCTGCTGTTTAACAGATTTGCTTTGGTTGCTTATTTGATCTTTATAGCTTGGAAGAAAATGCTTCTTGGAGTCAGACTGGCTCATGCTAACTTGAGATGCTGTCTGCCCATGGGAAGGACAGCTTAAGAGTATAAAGAGTGTGGCAAGATAAGCCATTTTAATACTGAGGTTTCTCCGTACTTAAATTCTTCTGTTCCTGCCTCTTTTCCCAAATCAAAACAGAACTAAATAAAATATTTTAGGCTGTTATTGTTCACATGCAAGACTAAAGAGATGCTGTCAATGTGAAACAAAATTGGCCTTCAAAATACGGGCTGGTGCCACAGTATAGGGAAATCTAAGACATATCTTATTTTGTTATTACTGCTTTTAATTGTCTTTAGTTTTTACACTTCTGAGATTTTATCTACTTTCATATAGTCTACTGGTAGTTTGAACTACAGTGCAAGAAAGTTGAAAGACTACATAAATTCTTAGATACTGTGTTGCTTTAAAAGAACACAATGATGAGATGGTTAGTGGTGTTACTTTGAGGTCCAAGAAAAATGGAAGAGCATGATGGCTTAAGGTAATGGCTTTTGCACTGTGAGCATGTCATGTGGTGTTTATCAAAGGTGTGAAAGAACTCAGTTTGAGCAAGTTAGTTGTGGGAACCATAAGTTCAATTTGATACATTTTTGTGGTAGAACCAAGTGACTTTTATTCACAATAAACTGTAAGAAGTGCTGTGCACTGATCTGTGGATGCCTGCTTTACTCTTGATCAGTTATGATTTGACACAGATCGATGTAGAATATGTGGAAATTAATATAGTGGTGCAGACTTAAGTGTAATGTAAAGATAATGGCAATATGGGGAAAAATTACTGAGTATGCCACCAGCCTCATGGCATGTCAGAGATGGGGCTGGCTGTGCTGTGTGCTAGGGAGGGATTAACCAAAATAATCAGTACTTATTTGAAAAAGAGCTGTGTCTTCCTGCTCTGGCTTTTTAGGGGCTTTTTTTATGTGTTAATGGGGATCAAAATGGTAATTGGTAGAAAAGCAGTGCTACACCCTAGGGATTTTTAGGCCAGTGAACGTGAGTGAGTCCCATCTGAGGTTGATGTACTCCAGCATCCCAGTGTGTTCTGTGGCCAGGGTATGACAACACCTTACCTTTTAAAAGCTACGAAGGAAACTTCCTGAGTCTTCATGGCAAAGGTGAGAGAGGATATTCTTTATGATCAGATTCTTTATTATAGATATTTTAACTTGATAGTTAACCTATTCAGGTTTTCACTTGGCTTCTTCTGTTCTTAATGTGCAAAGCGGAAAAAATACAATTAAGACAAACAAAACAAGAGGCAAGAAGTAGCTTGCCTGGGAGGTTGGAAGGGATATTTAAAGCAGTATCTTCAATAACTTTGCTTACAGGTTTAAAGTAGTATATTTATGGAGGCAGATGTGCATGTACCTCTTGTGGAAAACCAATTTAGATGTTTTGTGACTGAATGCTGGCAAAATATTTGAAGTGTGAATAAAAGCTTCCCTTTGTCCTGCAAAAGAGAGTATTGCAGCTTGTTTTTTAAATATGGGATTGTTCTGTGCCTTGAAAAAGGACTGGAAGTGCAGCTGTCACAATTGCAAGTCCACTTTGCTCAGAGATTGCTTAAATACAAATGGACGATATTGTGCTTGCCAGCCATGTATGCAGTAGGAGGTTCTTAACATTTGCATATGTTGGCAAGTATTTTCAGTAACATGTCTTTAAAATTGATTAGTTCTGTAAACAAGTTTCACTGTTTGGTATTAAAGTTATACTTTTTTTTAAATTGTGAAATGAAATTCTAATTTTGGCATGTTATTTGCTCATTTTTCATACTATATATGGCTGAAAAAAAAAGTGGAGTGTGTTTTTCTTCTGTTCTTTTTATTTTGTAACCTGTGATTTTTAGCTTCTTGATAGATTCCCCTCCTTCTCCCCCAGACTTTTTCTTTCTATTCATTCCTGCCTCCCTGAGATCTTGCTCTTTTGCACCCCAATATTTTATTTTCAGCTAAAGCCATTCCTGGTTCCCATGAGGACAGATGGAAACCAGATGCTTGCTTTTTCAAGTTCAGATATATTTTCAAGTTCAGTAACTTAGCATGGACTTTTATAAATAAATCTGTAAGTTTCTGAACAGCTATGAGCCACCACCTATTTTTAAAATATTATTTTTGGGGACTGTTTCTCCAGACTTTTGCCTTAATAATTCTTGGGAAGTAAGAAAGATAAAGAATTGTGTATTTCTACAGATGCATGAGATCATGATACCTGTGAAACTTCTAGAAAAAGTGTCAGTGAGTAATACAGGGATAAAAGTAAAACAAAAAAGATGGAAAGTTTTTGGGTTTGCTTTTATTATAATAATATAGAACTTATTTACCTCTCTATTTAGTAAAACAGATCTGCAGAGGTATAGTATGATTTGTAAAGGAATGTCTTACTGCGTAATAAATTCAGGTGCTGAGATCACTTGGCTTGGGAAGTGAAAGGAGAATTCTCAAGGTTGTTTGCCTCTCTGTCACTATATCGTGTGCTTCTGGAATCTTTTTGGGTACAGTAAGCTGTCAGTGAGCAGTTACTATCATTCTGCTTCCAGCTCTTCAGTGGAGGAACATGGCTGTTAGAAAGCAGTAAATGAATTTCAGTGATGGCTATGGGTTTGGGGTTTATTTGGGTGAGGGTTTTTTTTGTATTGTTTGTTTGGGTTTTTTTCCCCTTAAACCTTTTTAAAGCATAGGGTTGCCCAAGTTTCACAGGTGAGCCTTGGGCCTCATGGGCATTTTTGATGTCCATGTTGACAGGACTCAGAGGCAAAATTTAGATGAGCCTTAAGGCTGGCTTCTGCAGTTGGTAAACTCAAAAGCCATTTATTTTACCTGCCTGTTTGAGTACAAATGTTTATCATACTTTTCTCCCTCATCTTTCTGTTTTTTCTTTCAGAAACCATGAAGTCTAGATTTCTAGCTTAAGAACAGCTGAAATGCTCATGATTTGAGGTGGGATAATAGGGAGAAAATGTTATGGATCATTTGAATTCTATTTTCTAAGATAGTTTTTCAAGTT